CCTAAGAAAATCAATACAAAGATTTAGCTCTCCATGAAAAATCATAAGCGCAAAAGAGACATAATTAAAATCGAAACAAGAATTTAAAATAATGATAGAAGAGTAAACAAATTTAAATATAAATTGCAGAAGATGAAAGACGGTTGCATGACTGTTGCGTGGTGTCTTTTTCCTCTCAACCCTACATCTCCCTTATACAAATAACCCTAACCCTAATCTTAATCTAGGTTTGGGCCCAACTGGTCCACAAAACACATCATAAGTTAGCTTCAGTGCAGGTCCGTGAACTTCAAACACGTGCAGTATTTTAATACTTATCCAACTTAAGCGATTCTGGTCTCCTTTGAAAGCCTTTTGAGTTAGCTTTAAAATTCCACCATTTCTAATATTTTCGGAGGTCTAATGAATTTAGGAGACTTAAATTACTAAAGCATATCCATTGGGTCGGCCTAGTGCGCTTGACCTGTTTTGGATAATTTATGTAAAATCCAATTTAGCTCCGAATTGAATGATTCTTGATCCTTTGAAAAGCTGAATATGTCTAGTTTATAATGCTTTCAAAATCATGATTTCTGGAGCTCTGTAGAAAAAATGATAAATATTTATTATTTTCATGATACTCCTTGAATTACATTAGCAAAACCATTCTTGAAGATAGTGTGCACTAATATTAATGTACATGGTAGTACTTTAACTATATATTTTTGTGATAACATAGTGAAATTTAACCTTTTAGATGTAATTTAGACATCCTCAAGTTGATCATTCCATATTCTACATTGATGATATTATTGATGAATTGATTGTTCATAATGTTGTCACTCTTCTAGAGACCAAACATACCATTGTGTTAGAGCAAAATTACAATGAAATAAGTGAGAAAGTTCCCAATGCAAGAAAGTTTTTTAAGTGATAGCTGAAATTCTTAATGAAAACAAGGTAGTATGCAATCAATGTCACAATTTAACAAAAATGTTGGGCGGAAACTTAATTCGCTTAGTGAAAATTAGCTAGTGGTTCAATAATGGAGAGATTCAAAGAAAAATGACTATGTGAAAGCTGAATTTCTTTAGTGAAAAAAATATGAATAACTCATTGTTCAATTCTCAGGATGCTTAGCAAAATTTCTCCAATTCTAAGTGCTTATTCTAAGAAAAATGCAAACAAAAATTGAATTTGCTCAATGAAAATGCTTCAAATTTGAAAAATATAGAAATAGATAGAATGACTAAGAGAAAGTTGAATTCACTTAGTGAAACTTTAGAAAAGAAAAAAAAATAAAAAATACAAGTCATAATGTTTAATATTAATAAGATACATCAACAAAAATTGATTTTATTGAAAATAATGAAATTTTTACCTTTTGATTTTTCATTCAATACAAACAAAAATTATGTTCATGAAATAAATGTAAATAGTGAAAAAGGAAAATTATATTACATAAAATTAAAAAGATTGAATTTTGCATATTAGTTAGATTGATTTTGCAGTTATTTTCTACCTTCTTCCTTGATTTTGTTCTAATTCTACTAATGATTTTTTAAATAATGCTTGTTGCAAATGTGGAGTATAGGAAATTCATATTATAAGCTTGTTCTAATATTCTTCTTATTTTAAATTTTGTTCTCATTTTCTTTTTAATTGTTATATAACTTCTTTAATGATCAATTTACTGCAATAAAATTTTAATTCCTACTTAATCATTGAATATTATTGAAGTACTGAATTTAGAGTTGCCAAAACGAGTGACTCAACCAAACTTGGCCTGACCCTACAGGACAAGTAAAAAAATTTGATGGCCCAACTTAACCTATATTTTAAAACGGACAAATTTTTTTACCCTAGCTTGTCCCTATGTTACATATCTATACAAAATCAATTAATTTAAAATTTTAAATAAAAATAAAAAAACAAAACTATATTTTGAAAATTTAAATTTTATTAATGAAATTAATTTTTATTTAAGATATAATAATATATAAGTTATATGAGAATGCATCTATTCAATCTCAAAATAAGAATTATAAACTTACTATTTATTATCATTATTTAGTTTTTAGTAAATAGTTAATTTAAGCTAGTAATTAATTTTAATCATTAGATCTTAAAATAAGTTATTATTAAATATTAATTATGATATTTACTCTTAGAATAAGTGAATCTCTTATATATCAAATTAATTTATAATACATATATATTTTTAATAAAATAATATTAATTTTATTTTTATTTAAAAATAATTATTGTTCTATAAACGGGTCGACCCATGAACTTACTGGATTAACCTAACCTAAGCCTATATAGATCGGACTAAAATAGGTTTAATTCAATTCAGATCATAATTTTGTTGACCTAACTTGACCTATTTCATGAATCCGCCATCTGAGCAAGCTTATTTTGACATCGTAATCAGATTATTGTCTTATGTTGTTTAATCTTATCTTTATTTTATTTTTATTTTTTTACATTGAAAACATCGCAAAATTTAAGTGTAAAGTTATAAGATTTCCTATGTTTATTTTTGTATATTTTGCCAACGAAATTTAATTGGTATTGATATTTAGTTATTTAGATTAAGATCAATATGTGTAGAATAACTTGTATAATATCTTTATTTATTTAAATAACTTTTGATGAAGTTAAATTATAATAACTTAATTAGATAGAAAATAAATCATGTAAGTTTTGAGTCAATTTTTTTCTTATTGTCATTCACTCTGAAATTTAAGATGGTAGAACATGACTTAATTCTCTTTATTTTAGACTTGATCATATACAATTCTTAAAATATTTAGACTTTTGTTCTTTTTAAGCTAGAGCTAAATTATAGTCTACCTTATAATTATTAATTTTGTTTAACCCTTTGAGTCTTATATTTTCATTGTTAATTATATAAACCACATTACACACTACTACAAAATATGCTTTCAACGTCGCCATTTAACGTCGGTTAAAGTCGAGCTGACGTTAAATGCACTTTCAACGTCGGTTGATTAAAAAACGACGTTGAAAGTTGACATTCAACGTCGGTTTTTCAACGTTGGTTCATCTCGGAACCGACGTTGAATGTATTTTCACCAAAAATTCTTTTAAGTTAGAGAATTGTCACTCGGAGGTTCGAACCCAAGTACTTTAAAGTTGAAAATTGATACTCCAACCACTAAACTACTGTAATTTTCTCGATAATAACTTACAAATTAATTATATTTATATACAAATAAATATATATTCCGTATAAATATATATTTATTTATATTTTCTAGAAAGTGTTTTTATTTTTTTTCGACCAAAAATTCACTTAAGTTAGAGAATTGTCACTGATAGGATTCGAACCTAGTATTTTAGAATTGAAAGCTAATACTCCAACCACTAAACTACTGTAATTTTCTCGATAATAACTTACGGATAAATTATATTTATATACAAATAAATATATATCTGTGTAAATATATATTTATTTATATATATTTTCTAGAAAGTGTTTTTATTTTTTTCAAGAAAAATTCACTTAAGTTAGAGAATTGTCACTGATAGGATTCGAATATAGTATTTTAGAGTTGAAAATTAATACTCCAACCACTAAACTACTATAATATTTTGATAATAATTTACAAATAAATTATATTTATATACAAATAAATATATATCCGTGTAAATATATAAATACAAATATATTTATATATTTTTATGTTGGATGTGAGGGCGCGATCGAGGGTGAAAGTGAGATTGACTCTCGTCTGAGTGAAAATACGTTAAAGCTCACGAAATTCACTCGTTCAAGCCTAGCTTGAGCGAAAATTGGTATTTTTGGCTTGAGCGAATGTGTCACTTGAGCGAATGATGCGTTTTTCAAATTTATTTTATATCATTATATAAATAAATTATAAATATTATATTCTCGTCATTAAATTACAAACCCATATATAGAGACTCGCTCACAAATTTGGCATTAAATTTTGAAAACCCACTCGACACACACTTTCACCTTCGAGCGTGCCCTCACATCCAATATATAAATATATAATTATATAAATATATCAAAATATATAAATATATTTGTATTTATATATTTACACGGATATATATTTATTTGAATATAAATATAATTTATTTGTAACTTACTATCAAAAAATTCGAGTAGTTTAGTGGTTGGAGTATCGACCTCCAACACTAAGGTACTGGGTTCGAATCCTGTTAGTGACAAAAAAATAATTTGGTAATGCTTTAAACTTAAAAAAAATATGATAAATAATAAAAATATAATATAAAAGAGAGAGGGACCTAATAAAAATATAATATAAAAGAGAGGGGGATTTCTAGATAAATAGAGGGGTTGGAAAGGTTGGAAATAAATAAAAAAATTTAATTTGAAAAATCAGACTTTCAACGTCGGTTCTGGAACTGACGTTGAAGGCCTTATTTGTAGTAGTGACAAAACCAAATAAGCGAAAAACCATATTTGTGGAGAAGCAAAACTGTTGTAACCTTGTAGTAGTGACAAAACCAAATAAGCGAAAAACCATATTTGTGGAGAAGCAAAGCTGTTGCAGGTTACAAATAATAAGGTTTGACAATGAAAAGGAATACACAATGATGTTTTTCTGACATTAAACATCAACTTACTATACCTTACATCTCATACCACAATGAAACAAGTGAGAGAAAACATATAAGCGTCATGGAGATGACAAAATGTACCGTACATGAGAGAGATTTACCAAAGAAGTTGTGAGTAAAGACTAGAAACACGGTTGAATTTTCTTGTTAATTAACTAGATTTTTGAAAAAAAAAAAAAAAAACTCCATTTAAAGGTTGGTTAAATTTGGTTTGAGAATTTTTTGTTATATTTATTTTTCTTATAGATTGAAAGGGACAAACTTGACAAGAAAGTTAAACTCAAAGTTTTCATTGGATATGACAACAGTTCAAAAGATTATAGAATTTTCAACCATAAAATGGAAAAATTATTCTAACATGTACAGTTTTTAAAAGATCAACGATGGAGATGAGTGGAGCTAATAAATTGTCAGAAATCTCACAATTATCTGATGATGAAGTTGATGACATTCCTGTGAGATAATTTGAAGAAATTGAAAAAGATGACAAATAGATAAAAGTCATGAAAACAAAGTTTACGCAAATTCTAGTTGATAATCAAGTAATTATTTCCATTTAAAATAATCTTATTTTCCGTGAACTGAAGATCCAAGTACAAATGTTTTAACGAAACCCTTCCATATCTAGATCGAAACCTTAAGAAATAAATTAGGAGTTTGTCCCTATCGAGGTTATTGAAAATTTGCCTACAATAACTACACGTGGATATATATTATTTTTGTGTTTTTTTTTTTTAATTTATCTATTGCTTAGATCCTATTTTATAGGAGCTCTTTTGCTTAAATCCTAATTTATAAGAGTCTCATGCTTAGATCTTCAGTTAAGGTGTAGGATTGAGAGTTTATAGAAACTTTGTACCTAAATCCTTGTGTTTAGACGAGAGATTTCATTAATTCCAAAAAATTCAAATACATTATTCATATGGCTTCCAATTGAATTACTTTCATTTTTTAAATATTTTGTTTAGATAAAGCAATTTAAATATCTTATATAATTTCTTTGATTGGATAAAGTAATTAAATTTTATTTTAAAAATATTTATTTTAAATATAAAATTCAGATATTAAACTTTATAAAAATAAATATTATTCAATTTTAAGTATTGAAATAATATTTAATAATTTAATTTTTAATATTAGGTAAATTTAATAATTTAAAAAATAAAAGTAAATATTTTTTAAAATAACTTTCATAAAATAAATATAGTATTATATTACTATAATATATATATATATATATATATATAATATATATATATATATATATATATATATATATATATATATATTTAGTAGCATATGAGTGATTTTGACATGATAGAGAGAGAAAACAAGACGAGTGACTTTCCTTTTGAGTGAAATTTTAAATTTTTTATTTTTTTAGGATATTTTAAATTTTTCTATTTTAGTTATTTGAATTAATTACCTTCTAAAAATTAGAGAATTTTAATTTTTTTTACCCAAAGAAGTAATTTACTCTAAAAAAATTCAAATTCATCAAATAAATGAATTAACCCATTATATTATTTCATCCAAACATAGCATAGTTTACAGGAGCTTAGTTATTTATAGCTAAAAATAAGAGATATTCTGTTTTGTAATTTTTTTATCCATGCCACCATAATAAATTTTTCAATTAGCTAGAAAATTTTGCTATAAAATTTATTTTTCACTAATTTATAGCTAATTAGTAAAATAATAAAGTTGTAGCTAATTTATAATAAAATAGCTAGAAGATAATATTTTTATAGCTATTCCCTCACTTAGTAGAAAAATAATTTAGTTAGAGAAAATTTTTATCACTAATTTCTAACTATAAATATTAACTATGTTATTTTTTGAAGCTATTTTTTAGTTAAATTATATAACATTCAATCATAGTTAAATTGTAGCAAATTTATAATAAAAAATAATTATAAAATTATTTTTACCAAATTTACTATAAATATATTAATTATATATATATATATATATATATATATATATATATAAATTATTTTTTGTGTCTGAAATAAATTATTTGAAAATAATTATAACTTTTTTAAAAAATATCTAAAAAAATTGATAAATATTTAAAATTATTTTCTGTAAATTTTTTATAAATTTAAATTTGTAGGAAGTATTTAATAATTTAAATTAATAAAAAAATTATAAATAATTTTTTAATAATTTTTTACATTGCATAATTTATCTAAAACTGTAACATAATTTGTATCTCAGGTCCTAAAATCATATTTTTCTACATCATATTACTTATTTTATAATCTGTTTCGCAAATTAAACAAAATATATTAAATAATCCACAATTCAGACAATTATTAAACTCTTGAACTAGCATTGTAAAATGGCAGCGTTTGCAATATTTTTCCTCAGGGCGCCAAAACAATAAGCTGAAATAGATATCTTTTCCATTCTTACTTCCGTACCAAACAAGTATCCTCTTTTTCTCTTCGCAAAATCAAAATCTCACGCCACAGAGGAACAATCATTCAACTCTTCCAATCCTTCTATTCATAACCTTTTCCCTTTCCTTTAAACTCCAATTTCCTGAGACAAACCATCGCCATTATTTTCCATTCAAAATTCAACACCCTTTCACGACGAAGAAAATGGGTTGTTAGGGTTTTCATTCTCTGTTACGGTCTCCGCATTACGGTTCCCTGCCTCTTCCTCAGTGAATCGTGATCACTTCCATTCCGTTTCACACTCTCTGTCTCTGTTCTTCGATTTAGGGTTCATAATTCTTCTTCCGATTTTGAACCGAGTGAATTGTAGAAAATGTACGCTGATCTCGTGGAGAATGGAGGGCAGAGGTCCGTGAAGGAGCGCCTTAATGGGAATGGTACTAGTGGTCCTACTTGGCTGCAGCAACAACATCAAATCACCAGCAAGAGGTTTGAAATTCTTACTCCTTCATGTTTTCATGATGTTTTAGGCTAGGTTTTGAATTCGGTTGTGGTTTCGTCATGTAAATTGATATGGTGGACAATTGCGGTTGTCGACAAACTGTTGGCCACCATCATTTTTTTTTCTTGTGATTGTGGTGCATGTGGAGGAAATATAACTTCTACTTGTTAATTGTACTATTTTTGGAAGAAAATCTAGGTTGAATTGGTATGGTATCAGTTAGGAGATGTTTGTTGCATACGAGGAATGATGACATTCTTTAAAGAAATACATGACATCCCTAAAATACTACGATCGGAAACGTTATTTTATAGACAAACTAGGGTGTATGATCAGCTTTTGTTATTTTTGTCACCCTGAGTAGTTCTTATAGGTGCTGATCATCCACTTAATTCCGTTAAACTTGTCAGATTCTTTTACAACTATCCCATGATCTAACTCTACGAATATTGAGGGATTTAGCTGCCATATGATGATGCAAAGTGAATAGCTATTTTAGAAAGGTTTCCCTTGCATATTGAGGGAGCTGAGTCATGATAGATAAAGCATTGTTCAACAATCCTGCAAAAGTCAATGAGCATGTGAAAACCAGTTCTCTTCTAAAAGGAAATATGCTTCAAGGGTCACATGAAAGATAGTAACTATGTAGGAATGAAGTACCAAATGGGTTCCTAAATGATATAGGCTATGACAAACAGGTCCCTGAAATAAAATTTCTTCCGCATTAATGCCGAAAGTTTTTCTCTCTTGGGCAAGTTAGTCCTTCTGTTAGTAATTTTGTTAATCCATGTCCATCTTCCATGTAAAATGCCTTTGTGGCAGTTTCTCACTCCTAGGTGGCGTGTCTTGTTATCTAAGTTGAAGATGTCAGAAACTAAGGTCTTTTTTTATTTATTGAAAATCAAAAATTTATTGGATGTTGAATGACTTTATGAGATTATTTCAGAGGCTATGTAACCCTTAAAAACTTTGATTGATGAGAACTCGAATAGAGGTGGAGTTTGGGAGACACTGGAGTTGTGGAATGAGGGTGTTCCCCAATGTTGTGATCTACACTGTGTTGATTGAAGGTGATTGTTTGCGTGGAGAAGTGGATGAGGCAAAGAAGATGACGAGTAGGAAGCAATTGAATGGGTTGAAAGACAATGTTGCCACAAATACTAGCTTGTTGAAGGGAATGTGTATTAAGGGAAAGTCTGATGAGACTATTCAGCAATTGAGGGAAATTTTCTTTCCGAGACCTATCAGCCGCCACCCATATCATTTAAGGAACTGTTTGGTACTTCACTTAATTGTTTAGGTATTCAAATTAATTCAGTACTCTAGCTCACATCCAATTGCTACATTTTGTATTTTTTATCTGATTTAATATTAATATTCAACAATGTAACAATTGATGTTCTACCATTATCCTCCTCATCTGTCTCTTCTCTTAAGTTTTCTCCCTCTTCTCTTCCATTTCTATCTTTATGATCTAATAGACCTTCTCTTCTATAAACGAATTCATCTTAGAATATAGGCTTAAAGTCCAACTTAATCCTACAAAACTGCGTTATAAGATGAGAACTGCCCAAGTTTTTATAAAGACTACATCTGTCATATACCTCTACATGATAGGCACTATGGGATCTTAGTTCCTTGAGAACCAACTACCTGGATGCTACACTCAATGACACTTGATAGGGTCTTTCTGGTCATCCCTCTATAGATAGCCCTTTCCAAGGCATTGACCACCAACTGTGATAGATTGCAAATAATCCAGGCTAGGAGTGACAACGATTAGGGCGGATTTCCAAAAATAATAACTTTTTTTGTTATCTTTATTTTCTTTTTATTTTCATGTGTTTTTGTTTATAAATTTCAAAACAATGTGCCAAGATTATGTGTGTCTTCATACTTTTATAGGGAAGGTTTTTGCTTGCTGCTGTAAGTGGCCGTATTTTAGCCCAGTCATATCACTCAGTCCTTCAAGTTGGTTACGAGATGATCGAGCAAGCAGTTAATACTACTGATGGAAATAGTAGTGAATACCAGCCTGAAATTGCATGGAAAAGATGGGAGTTGTCTGTCATGTTGGAGCATGTGCAAGCCCATGTTGCACCAACAAATGTTGATCTAGGGGCCGGAGTGCAATGGCTACCAAAAATTCTCATAGGATCTCCAAAAGTAATGCGTACAGGCGCTCTTCTTGAGAGAGTTTTTATGCCTTGTGATATGTACTTTCAGTTCACAAGGCATAAAGGAGGAACTCCAGAACTGAAGGTAATTCTTTTTGTATCATTGCAAAATCCAAAGATCCTTGTCAGATGATGTCTTTTATATGAACTTCTGTGCTAAATGATTTGCCACAGATTTGGATAATAGAAACAACCACCTCTCTAATATTTATGATATGTACGTGGACAATTTTGAATAAATTATATATCTGTTTTTTACATTGTTTTATTGCTAATTTATGGTATAGGTCAGAGTTTGGATCTTGGTATTTCACATGTTTCATCTTCATCAGTTGAAGGCACACATATATCTAGTTTGTAAGAGCAGATGAAAACAAAGTTGCAGGCACAAACTTATATGCAAGCATTGATGCAAACACAAATGAAGATACAAGCAGAAATGCAAACACATGCAACAACAAATGCAAGAAGAAATGCAATTTTCAAGAAAGATTTATTATCTGCCTTAAATAAACAATGATGAAATTGTACTTTAAACTTTGTTTTTATTTTTAATTGTGTTATATAGAACTTTTTAGTTGAAATATTATTTTTGTTATGTTTTAATTGTTTGAAACATCATTTTAACTATGTTTAAACAATATTTTTATATTGAAAGTTGATAAGTTTGTCTTCTTTTTTCAAGAATATGAGTAATAATTTAAATGTTAAACATTTGATATTATAATGTTATGATGATATATTAGCAGAAATATTTATTACGTCAATAAAATTATGAGAGATTAGTTATGGATTAACGAAAGATTAACTACAGATTAGTAAGAGATTAGCTACGAATTAGCAAGAAAAGAATTTTGATAAAAATTGTGATGGATTAGCTATGAAATAGTGAGAGAAATATTGCGAAGGATTAGCTACAGATTAGCAAGGAAACAATTGTGAGACATTAATTATATATTAGCTAGAGATAAATTGTTAGGGATTAGTTACAGATTAGCGAGAGAAAAATTACGAAGAATTAACTACGGATTAGCGAGTAAACAATTGCGAGGAATTAACTATATATTAGCTAGAGATAAATTGTCAGGATTAGCTATAAATTAGTCAGAGAAAAATTGCGAGGGATTAGTTACGGATTAGTGAGAGCGAAATTGCGAGGGATTAGCGAGAGAAAAATTGTGAAGGATTAGTTACGGATTAGCTACAAATTTTGGGAGATCAATTAGCTAGAGAAAAACAAAATTTCATCATTTAAATTAGCGAGGGACTTAGCAACCGTTTAGTGACAAAATTTGCTACAAGTTTGAGAGAGAATACATCTGTATCTAATTAGCTACTTGGATTTAGCTATGGATTATTCCATAGCTATTCCGTAGCTAATCTGTAGCAAAACATACTAGCGAGAGATTAACTATAAAATAGCTACGGAATGTGTCATAGCTAATATGTAAAATTCTTATAGTGCTGAGAATATGAATAAATATAAAACATCCTCAAGAAAAATAACCTTTTGTTTTCTTTATTATTTCACGCTTTTTCAAATACAGGTTTATTTATTGGTTAGATACCACTAAAGATTGTGTGCTTCCAAGTTGTGAAGAAAATCTATATGGAGAAGAGTTATTGTTCGATCTCTATCATATGTAAATGATTATTAGACAAATGATAATTACAGTACCTCAAATAGAATTATCTAATTAATCATACAAGGAAAAAAAAAAAAAAAAACTCACTGTCATGCAACACGAGTACTTTTTGAGATGGGAAGAGATTGCTTTGCTTCGTAAAAGATACATCTTGTTTTACACTGTCACGTTACATAACTCTAATCTATTCTCAGGAGGTACTTAGAGGAGTTTGTATCAATTCATGTCCCCCACAAAAGAAACTCAAAAGGTTGATCTGGTTTATACTATTCTGTTGCAATAAAAGATAGATCATATGCAACAGGGCTACTCAGATCTTGTAGCCAAGGCAACTAGAAAGTCTCTGTAGTCCCCTGATGGAAGGCCTTCACGTATAACATCAGCAAGTTCCTTCTCGTACTTTTCCTTGAAAACCCTTCTAATTTCATCTATGTCTACCTCAGCCCTGCTTACCAATGCTCGTGCCAAAATTTTAGTTTCCCCTTTGATGCTGGTGTACAGTCTCTGTCATAAGTTGTAACTTTTCAAATAGTCACTCTCTTCCTAGACTAAATTTATTGATGAAGATGTCAAACAACGAAGGAAACAAGAAGTTCACCCTACCCTACTGCTAGTTCATTCTATGAAATAAAAGAGTTAAACTATGCCCTTTAATCCTTATATTTAAAAACGATTAAACCGAGAACATATTCTTTTAAAAAATTTAACATAATATATATAATAAAAGTGGAAAGATATTGAAATCGTTTGCATAGGAACTATAATGAATAATTTTTATAAATAGAGATTAATAAGTAAAATTTATACCATTAAAAAAATTAAACGAGTAATTAAAAAATTGTTACCTTTGCATAATAATGTGCTGGATTACAAATGCATTTCACAACCAGGATTAGAGCTTTACCAAATTGGCCATATGTCCCCCTCTTGATAGACTGAAACACAGTGCATTTAAGACAGTGAATTTCAAAACCCTTATAATGACAATCATTGAATAGGGTAAGATGGGAAGAGGACAAGTAGCATATTATTTAATTGAGACCTTTGTGTAATCATGACCATAAATGTGTCTATAGCTAAGAAATGTTAACTTAAGTTGGGAAATGCTCCTCTTGCTTAAAATTTCTAATACAACAGCTTCATCCACTGCTCGTAAGCTTCCCTCCCCAGTTTCATAGAGCCTCCTAGCATCACACTTGGATATGTGATGGCTGACATCTTCTTGGTGAGCTTTGTGTGATGCAGCCAATGCCACAAGAATCTATAAAATCACATCAATTTCTTTAAATTTACAAAGAATTGACAATTCCCAACAATCGATTGAGTGATTCCAGTAATATCTCACCTTTTGAAATGGGTGTGGAGGGTCCAAATGGATAATATCTTGGTCCAACTGTCTCCTGAACATTCTCTGGTAGGCCTGTGTGATGAGAAGAACATGGCTTGATTTTCTACACACAAAAATCTCCACAAGATCCTTGAAATTGATCTCATCTTGTTGAAGAGACTCTCTAGCCACAGTTGCATCCCTGTCATGTGGATCAAGCATCCACCAGGACAAGGCAGAACAGTTCATGGAAGGAGAAAACACATCTTCATACCTTTGAATGTGACTTATCAACTCTTCTCCATACACTGCCTTGAAGGTCTCCTTGAGCTGTTGTCTTTCAAGGAAGGTTAGGCAGGCCAGAGATGGGATCAGTTGACTCAAACCCCCCAAAGAATCATGAATTTTCTTGCAATCAAGTTCAAAATTGTGGTTTGTCATGGTAAGAATGTTGTTAGCCAAGTGGGGAATGAAATGTATTTAAGCAACAATTACTTGAAGGGTAAGGCAGGAATCGTCCTTTTAGTTTTTGGGCATTCCATGGGAGAAAAATGGCAAAGGGTGGATTCATCACACACTAATTGCTACAGAGTAGGCTTGAAATTAAAGTTCAAAAAGTCAAAAGCAAGTGAAGTTTCTATGTATTGAGTTGATGGTGATGTGTAACGCAGGTTGTACTTGTATGTGCGTGCCATGTGAAGTTTGTTTTGTAGCTGAACTTGTCATTGGTGTCCAAGTAGACTGAGTCCACCATAACACATTGCCCAACATCAACTAACTTCGTAGTTGCCTTTGAATAATAATTTATTATTCAATAAGAAAACCACTTTTAAGACTTGTGATATGAAGCTTTTTCATTGTACGGAGACATACAATAATTAAATGCTTACATTAGACTTTGTGTTTGCTATATAATAAATGTAGTTTTCTAATAAAAATTACTTGACTTGTTATAATTTATTAGCAACCTATTTAATTAAAAGTCATCCTCTCAAATTTAGAATTATAAATTTCTTCTAAAAAAGTAATAATTATATGAGAAAAAATTAATTATGATAAAATCGTTATATTTTAAATTAGAATTATAATTTTTTTCTAAAAAATAATAATTATATGAAAAAAAATATTTATGATAAAATCGTAAAATTTTAAATTAGAATTGGATATATATATATATATATATATATAAAGTTATATCTTAAGTTTTTTTTATTAAAATTATGGATATTATTATAGACATGCACATTATTGTTTATAGCTTATAGTTACTTGATAATAAACAAGATGACTCAATAAATATATGTTATATCGAGATAATTAAGATAAATAATGTGAGACTCTTCTCAACTTCTCTTTGACAATATGTTTATTATAATAAATTATGATTAAGAAGATGTCTATTATAATAGACGATGATTATAAAGATAAAAATGTGTAGTATAATAGACAATAATTACTAAGATGTTTACTAATGGGTAAAAGCTAAAAAAATTGTCTATTATAATAAATAAGATTTAAAGAACTTTGATATTATATTAGTATTCAATTTAAAAATCAATTCACAATAAATAAAATTATCTGATAAATATAAAAGTTGTACTCAAAGAATAAATAAAGACTATTAATTTAGAAGATTTCTATTATATTAAGTGAGACTATGTTATTTCAATAATTTTTGAAAAAATATACAGTTTTGAATTTTATTTTTAACATATTAAAAGAAATAAAATAAAATAATAATATAAAGCTAAATATGTTTTTTTTATGAAGAACAAAAGTTAAACAAAAATAATTTAAGACTAAAATATAACTATATTTCATAAAGTAAAAGCATCAATTTCAGGCTAATGATAATACATTTTCTAAAAGGTCTATCCAATCAGAAGACCGGTAAAGTGACTTTAAGAAAACTAATGTTAATTTAAAAGTAATACGTTAATTTTCTGTTGAAGTAAACGTTCATTTCTTTTCCAGGAGTGGGGGTATTTAAAACACGTGTTACTAACTTGTAGTCTTGTTTTTCAAACAAAAACTATAAATATAGATATGATTTATTAGCAACCACCGTACAACAACATAAACTCCTACCTGTTCTTGATTTTTATCCACTTACTCTTGGAATTATGTGGAGCATTGACGTGGGAATGGATTAATATCATCGTTCTTAAAATCGGACGGCCTGAAATTAATAGTAAATCAAGTTTAATAAATAATATATTTTAATAATATAATAATATATTGAATTTAAAATAAATTATAAAAAAATAACAATTCTAATCTAATAAAAAAACTATTTAAAAATATATTATATAATAATAATAATAATAATAATCTAATATAAATGTTATTTGAAAAAATATTATATAATAATAAAAATGATAGGTAGAATATTAATATGAATAAATATATTATCAAACATTTGAAGTAAATAAGTAGAGAAAAAATTGGAACTAACTTGAAAATAATTAGAAAAAAAGTATACCTAACTTGAAAATAATTAAGGAAGAAAAATTGCATCATATATTCTCTTGCATCTAACTTCAAATTTTATATATTTTATTTTATTTCAAGACATGGTTATGGAACCCAAGGATGACTCAGTGCACTTAACCCAGTACCCATTTATCAATATCAATTTTGTTCTTAATATCCAATTTTAGAAAGCATCACAATTTTAGAAAATTTCAATTTTAAAAAACTCTCATTAGTACATAACGGGTTTTTTAAGTCACTCAATTCTCGTCAAAACCAAAAATAACTAACTTAAAAAAATGCAGTGACATTTTTGTAAATAAAGGATGCTACTTTTACGTCAGATCTCTTAGAGACCGATGTAAAACTTGGCTTTTACGTCGATCCCTATGAGGTCCGACATAGAAGTCGCGTTTTAATTGCTCCAAAACTTCTTTTTCCTCTTGCGCACAAGGATTTTCGAGAGATGATGGCAACAACGACCAAACTAACTCCTCTCAAGATACATTTCAATCACAGTAAGTGACATTTATCTCCGATTGAATTCAAGTTTTAGAACGTTTTTTTATATATTTGAGGCTAGTGTTATATGTCTCCTCTTTTATGTTGACATTGAATCGGTGATTATGTAACAACCATAAGGCTAAGAGAGGAATCATCCTCAAAAGCTAGCTCAAGAGGTTGGAGAACCTCCTACCTTATAAGGCCTCTCTGGTAAGGAGACCTCCCCAATGTGGGACTTGTTACAATACCACCCCATTCGAAAGTCAGCGTCCTCGATGGCTGCACTCCACGACACTTCACTCACCGGCACTTCACTCACTGGCACTTTACTCGGCCTTCTTACCGGTCAGAACCCTCCAGTGTTCTGAACCCTCCGGCGGTCAGAACCCTCCGTGAGTAGCCCTTCTCGAGTTGGCTGACTTTCAACGAAAGCACCAATGTAACAACCATAAGGCTAAGAGGGGAACGGTAAGGAAACCTCCCCAATGTGGGACTTGTTACAATACCACCCCGTTCGAAAGTCAGCGTCCTCGATGGCTGCACTCCACGACACTTCACTCACTGACACTTTACTCGGCCTTCTTACCGATCAGAACCCTCCAGTGGTCAGAACCCTCCGGCGGTCAGAACCCTCCGTGGGTAACCCTTCTCGAGTTGGCTGACTCTCAATGAAAGCACCAATGTAACAACCATAAGACTAAGAGGGGAACCATCCTCAAAAGCTAGCTCAAGAGGTTGGAGAACCTCCTACCTTATAAGGCCTCTCTGGTAAGGAGACCTCCCCAATATGGGACTTATTACAGATTATTTTTGGGATCTCAATCATGTTATTGTATGAGTGTCTCCACTCAATTGTTATTGAAATTGAACTGTTGTAGTTTATGATTATCCGTTTATGCATTTGAGTGAATTTACGATTTATATACTGCATTTTTATGTTCTCATGGTTTAGTTGTTTGAATCTCACGTTTTTTGTTGTTTGTATATTAATTATATAATAGTAATGAGTAAGAAAGAAAGAAAATGATATGGTATGATGTGAAGAAAGATATTACAGGATAGGATTTCGGGTTTTATGATGATGAAAAGAAAATAGATAATGTTTGAAAAATGATAAGTTTTGACTCTGATATCGGATTTAGACGCACAACATATAAAAACGAATGGAAAAAAGTGAAGAAAAGGGGACAAATCCTCATGTAATAGAGAAAAGTAGTGAAAAAGAGAAAAATATTATATTATTATAATAATTCTTGTATTTAAATTTTTAAAATAACATTCTATTTTGTTTCTCAATTCAATGGTAATAAGCAAACAGAATCCTTTGAAGGTGACTATTATATCATATATTGGATGAGAGTTATAGTTTGTGCGGGTATAATTGATTATTGAGCGGAGGTAATTGCTTTCAACATTTGTTAAGTTGATTTACTTTTATGCGTATTACATGTTAACATGAGTCAAATTAATGTTTTAAGTATTTCGAGATTCATCTCCACTATCAGAACATGATATTACGCAAACTACAAATCAATGAACAAGGTTTTTCATTCAACATTTCTAGTACTTAGTTTGCAAGTTATTGTTTATATTGTATTTTGTAGTTTAGAATTTACGTAGCTTAGTTTTTGTACTAGTTTAGACTTTCTATTAGTTTAGCTTTGTAATGTTTTCCTTTTAAGTTGTTTAGTCTTTGTACTAATTTAGATAATTTATATTATATTGTATTGTTGTATTTTTGAATTATTATTTATTGAAAATCTAGAATCTGGACTAGTTGTAAGATAAAACAAATTGAATATTAAAAAAAATGAAATTTACGTTGAGTGTATCAATACTCAATGTAAATTTACGTCGATTATGTCATGTTCGATGTAAATTTATGTATCTCGTATTAACGTTGAACTTGTGTCTGATATAAAAATGTCAAAATAATAGATGTAAAAACCTCATTATGTACTAGTTCCTAATCTTAGAAAATCCCAAATTTAACTTCATGAAATATGCACTAAAAATCTCACCAAAAATATTATTTTTTTACCGTGTGACATCTACAAAATTGTTTTATGAAATTAATTTTTGAAATGAAGAGATTGTGATTCTTACATGTTGTGTTTCCATGAATTATTGTAGTGATCATAATAATAGACCACAACGGCAGCAAGGGCGACACCGGAAGGTGATAATCAAAGGTAGTAAGTGACGATGTTGGTGACGATGACAATTGAATCGAAGACTATAATGAAAGAAGAATATCACTACCAATACAAAAAAAAAAACTTTTTTTCTTCATGTTTGTGTGTCTCTATGTTAAACTAAAGAAAGAAAAAGAAGTATATGACAAAACACTGTCCTTTAACCCTTAAAAAAAAACAAAACAAAAATGAGTGATCCCTTGATCTGTTTGATATCATCGATTTATCCAATTTATTGTTTATTCGATTTTTAGGAAGTTTTGGATCGGT